TTTTTTTTGTTTTTTGTTGCAAATTGATGCTCACAAAATTTTAACTAAGGATGGGGCTAAAAAAAAGTGGAATATCGACAGAATCTGATAAATTAAATTCGATTGTTTTTTTTTTTTTTTTTTTGCGATAGCGAGGATGGATGCTTGACAATTTTTCAAAAGTATGTCTGACAATTAAGATAAAATTATTTAGTTTGCTTTTATTGCAGTATGTATATATGTTTTCATTACAATTTACAAAAATTGAGAAAAATATAAATATCGTTGTCAAATGAGGTGCTTATCGATATTTAAGACTATTGTTAACTCCGAACCAGCTGATTGAATTAATTTGTATTTTGTTAACCTGGAGCTACGAAATCTGATAAACAAAGCAAATTTGAATTAAAATGTCTAGTGAAAATMGGAAAAACTATGTTTGCGTCAGCTGTGGCAATCCGGCACGCGAATTGATTAAAAAATACAGTAATACTGTTAAGCCGACCCACTGTGTAAGTACGCTTTGCACTAACAATACGTACATATATTCTAACATATATGAATTTATTAGGATAAATGTAATCAGATAACTGATAAGTACATAGAAGTCGAAGAGTTCATTATCTTGATAGATGCTTTGCTTCTTGTTTCCGCCGCATTTCGACACATGATTTGCAATGGTAACTTTAAGGTAAAGTCGTCAATATTTTAAAGCAATTTAATATAAATTAAATAACTTTTGTAGCTCTATTGGAAGATTTCACTCGTTGTCCTCTTATTGGAGTCATTTGCCTTATGCAGACAGAAGCGGGGAGATGGATCTAACACTGCACTACATGAAAAGGGCTTTTACATGTGCACACTGCAAAACATTGGTGGTAAGATAAACCAATTTTGATATTTACTGAAATATGCTTACATTTATCTACCATTTACAGAATACCTTTTTATAACGCTGCTGCTATTATTTATTACTGCTCTTCTCAATATGCGACAGCTGGCTAAAATTGGATTAGCATCTGTTACATTGATTATTTTAAAAGTAGTAGCCATTTCCAATTTCTCAAAGTTCTTCCTGCTGCCCATATTGGTGTGGCGTAGTAATACAACAGATTTTGGACGGAATCTGCACTATATTTTGGTCACAGGGCATCATCTCTGCTCATTAATAATGGCTTACAATGTAGTGGGTATTAGCAATAGCCATCTTCGATGGCTGACTATATTTTTGGTTATTTGTGCCTTTGCTACTAAAGAGTATGTTCGGTATTTAGCAGCATTTGAGATGGAATTATATTTATTGTAACAATACTAATTATAGACATAACGGTTAGATATTTAAATGACTCAAGTCTGTGTTGCATGAATTAAATATAATCAGTACGTTAAACTATTCAGTATAAATAGTATTTAAAAATTACCACTGGTCTCTCTTGATTAGTTTTATCGATTCTACAGCCCTGGTACTTGCACTAATCGGCCGAGCTCTGTCAATGTCGCATGCAGATTTGATGAGAATTCTAAAATGCTTATTTTGCTTATTTTCATAATGAAAAATTGAAAATAAATCTTGCGAAATCATTACTATTATCATAATATGAATAATTTCAATTTGTTAACAAATATCGCGAAGTAAATCAATATCTACGCATATTTTTAGGCACGTAATGTGTGTTCTAATGATCTAAAAAGAAAGCAAACGTGTTATTTAATAATGTAAGACGCAACACAACAAGTGAGTGCGTGTATTACAAATAAATGTCAAGTATATAAAGAAAAAACAAACAGTAAGTGAAGTGCAGACAGTAAAATAAAATATTGGTAAGTCTATAGAACAAATAAAATAACCCACATACATACAAAAAAAATACATGTATATCAATATGTGTACATGGGACATTGCGTGTATTAACATACACATGTAATTTGGGCTACATTGTCGGCGCATGCAAAATAGTATTTTACTTATCGACGTAAATAATTTGTTTGGCACATTAAAAAAAATCTAGTGTACTATCTATGTACGTTGCGTACTTAATAAATGAGAAACTTTGATTTAAAGTTGCATTATATATGAATATGACAGCTCATTTATACTTGCAATGTGACCGGTTAAAAATAGTATTTTTTAAAATAATTTAGATATGTGAGACTTTCTATTTAAATGAAAAAGTATTCTATGCGTTGCAAAATTGAAGCAATTTCGTACAAATTGACTGTGATGCTTCTTAATTTGTGCTACATTTGGAATCAAAACCATTCGCAAAATATATTTTTGATAAAGTTAATTTATTTACATTTAATACTTATTTTTGCGTTTTCAAAATAAAATGCAAACATGCAATGTAGCCTATATGATATGCATTTTTTAAAATATACAATGATGGTATTTTGCTCGTCAGCTGGATTGGTCACACATAAAATATAACCTTAAAAATGGCAAGTGACAAATTTCTTTTTTGTTCATTTTAAGCGACTAAAACGTTATCGACTATAATAAAAGTCTATTGTCGGGAGTGCCTCCTGTAGAAGCACTCTATCCGTTTTTTGCTGTTATGATAAATATTGGATTCAACTTAATGAGGGTCTGACGTTTCTGCTTTCACATATGCAACGATGTAAATATTATAAGCAAAAAGTGAAAATTACAAATCAACAGACCAACCGACCGACGACCGCATTGATACACACATATGTACATAATTGTACATACATTTATTAATATAACTCCGTAAGGCAAAGATCACGTAGAGTGTCAACTCAAATGTCAGCTACATCGGTTGTSTTTGCGAGTTTTGTTGTAAAACTCTGCACAAAGTACTCAAAGTCGCGAAGGACGGAGCTCAACCTTAACAAGTGAATAGAGTGAAATAAACAAAAAATTGTGAATTTGGATAAGTACAGATCGGAACACATTTATATATATATTTATATATATATAAGCAAGCGTGGAAAATGCATTCGTCGTCTGCGGCGTCGAGTGCGCTAGTGGAATATTCCGACGTTAGTTCGGAGGATTTTTCCGATCCTGAAACTGGAGAAATCGACTCGGATGCTGCATTAGCTGGCCGTGGAGCAGCAACATTAAACGCTTCCARTCGAAGACCGGAAAATCARCTAAGAAAACAGAATTGTGATGCCGTTTTGCGCATTACAAAGAACAATGACTTCAGGTAATAATTAATAAGAAAATATGAATTTAATTACAATCTGTTATTTTTTAGGAAAAGACGCAATGACGAGAGTGAGGATATGGGCTCGATTCTTGCAGTTGGTTCAAGATCACGGCAAGTTTCAGTTGTTGCCAGTAGCGGTAGTAGGGTAAGCATCGGCTCTGTCCCCGAGAAACAGAATCATCATCATCGCAGCGAAGTCAGTCTGACGCCAGCCAAGAGCTCAAAGGAGGAACAATGGGATCGGGAGCTCTACATGTCTAGCGATACGATAGACACGGATGAACTGGAGGCGGAAATGAAACGSCAGAAGCGTAAAAAACTGAAGAAGGACAAGCATAAGCACAAATCAAAAAAGAAGTCCAAGAAGCGCAAGAAGAAGCGAGCGAAGTCATACTCAAGCATAGATTCCCTATCGGACAGCAATCTCAATTCGTTGCTGGACAGGCATAGCCGATACACGCCGCCAACGGCACCGAATCGAGTCAAAAGTGCCGAGCGTACAGTTAGCGCATCTGTGCCTTCGTACACGCCTCACAAAGACAGTCAAAGCAGTCCCATATCAGTGGGCACTCCGCCTGCCCGACGTCCCAATAGTAGTAATAATGCCTACTATGGCGAAGTAACCGCTGCTCCAAGTACTCCCTTAGGCAGCAGTCTGCAGGTGACGGTAACGAACAAATCCACAAACAGTCGACATCGATCCCCACAGATACGTTCCGGAGGTGGAGTTGGTGGCAGCAGTAGCAGCCAGCGTTATGCCACTTCTCCGCGCACTCCACCGCAGTTGCTGAGCCACTCGCATCCAGCCACTGGCGGTGGCGCTGGGGTTAGTGGCGGAAGCAGCGCACGTGACTCACGCAGCTCTCGTTATGTACAGAGTCCTTTGAAAGATGATCATAGATCAAGCAATGCGTATGCATCTCGTTATTCAGGTGGATCAGTTGGTGGACAGGTCAGCAGTCTCGACGCGAGAAAGTTGAAACGCATCTCACCAGGTAAGCGAATATAAGTGAAGGGCATGGTAATTTATGGTTTTCTTTTAATCAGAGAGACTACTAACTCTATTGATTTACAGAGCTGGATCGTTATCACCATCAACCAAGCACGCCACCGCATAAGCGACGAAAGTATGGCGATGGACGAGATGTATCTATGTCTTCGTCTATGGTCCCATATGAGCACGGCAGGCACCATGCTGTTAAATATGAACGATACAGCAGAGACCGATATTCGCGGAGGGTGTCCAGGTAAGCAATTGTGTACGCAATCTAATGCAGCATATACTAATCAAGTATTATGATTAGGAGTCCTAGTGTTCACCGCCTGTCACGCAGTCGACTCTCACCTGGCGGAGGAGGCAACGGATCGGGTAATAGTAGCATGTATCGTCAACGAAGTAATAGTCGACATAATCACAGCAAATATGGCGCACCTCATTCGCCTTCGCCACCAATGCCGACGAGGACGTCTTCCAAGAGAGGCTCGGGCAGTGGCATGGGCATCTCCAATGATCGCTACTCCTCGCGCTCTCCACGACAAAGCTCGCGTTATTACGAGTCATCTCCACCGTCACCAGCGGGCGCCTCGGCCTCGACCTCACATCACCATCGACGATCGCCTAGGGGTCATCAGCATCATCGCAACAGCAGTCGCAAACGCTCTCCTAGCTCGGGCAGCAGTCGTAGCTCAGGGTCGTGCTCTCGTTCGCCAGCTTCTCGGGATCTTAAATACAAGCGCGAGAAATATATCAAAAAGATAAGCGAGACTAGTTTGTTTGCTGAGCTGGTTAAGGATCGGCATAAGCGKGAAAAGGCTCTTAAAGAGATCATCGAGCGAAACGAAGAGAACAGCAACAGCAACGGTGCTTTGACTATCAACGAAAATAGTTCCTCGGTAGATGGGAATACGCCCAACGTTGCGGACAACCGATCAGCACCATATATGGCAGTTCAATCCTCCGCTGGTGCAACGCCAAACGGAATTGCTGGAAGCGGTGGCGGTGGTGGTGCTAAGCCTGATTTGGACCTGAACAACATTCCAATGCCAAACAAAGATACAGAGGCATTAAAGTTGAATTCGACTGTTGGTACCGGAGATGTAACAGATGCCTCCCAAGCAATAGCCTCACTGACCTTTAAAATGAATGCCAATCMAAAACCGAAGAGTCTTACGGCCTTACCCATGCCACCTGGCATGACTGTAGCTGATTTAGAGAACGCGCCAACGCCATCTCCTCCAGATGTAGGCAAGCAAGCGACGCCGAAATCAACAAAGAAGTTTTCCCCAGACGACAAAAATCTAAACACCAGCCTTAATGCCAATGTAAATAAAAGCCTTTTGAACCTGCCAATGCCGCCCGTCATACCGGGCAGCGAGGAGTTAAGTGGCGACGATGATGTCATCGACAGTCCCGAGGACTTTGATACACCCAGTGGCAACAGCAACAGCAACAGCTTAAATGTGAGTGCCAATGCAAATACATCACATACTGCCACCCGGCGACGACCAGTGATACTTAATCGGCGCGACTCGCGAAACAATGTCAGGGATTGGGGCGAACGATGTGTGGATGTGTTCGAAGTGATTGCACAGATTGGCGAGGGTACATACGGACAGGTAACATCGAAAAATATTTCTTGAATGCTAGATAAATTAGATCGTATATTGATTTACGTTTCAGGTGTACAAAGCACGCGATCATCATACCAATGATATGGTAGCATTGAAAAAGGTGCGATTGGAACACGAAAAGGAAGGTTTTCCCATAACGGCTGTGCGCGAAATAAAAATATTAAGACAACTTAATCATCGCAACATTGTGAACCTTCATGAAATAGTAACGGACAAACAGGACGCAGTTGAGTTTCGCAAGGACAAGGGTTCATTCTATCTGGTATTTGAGTATATGGACCACGATCTCATGGGCCTTCTAGAATCGGGCATGGTTGACTTTAATGAGGAGAACAATGCAAGCATTATGAAACAGCTTTTGGATGGCCTCAATTACTGTCACAAAAAGAATTTTCTACATCGAGATATCAAGTGTTCCAACATTTTAATGAACAATAAGTATGATTATAAATTCGACTTYTTTARTCTCTCTATTTAAAATTATAATTGTTCGTATTTTAGGGGTAAAGTCAAGCTGGCAGACTTTGGATTGGCCCGTTTGTACAATGCTGAGGATCGTGAACGTCCGTATACGAACAAAGTAATAACACTCTGGTATCGACCGCCGGAGCTGCTGCTTGGCGAGGAACGTTATGGACCGTCAATAGACGTRTGGTCATGTGGCTGCATATTGGGCGAATTGTTCCTGAAGCGCCCACTATTTCAGGCAAATGCAGAAATGGCTCAACTAGAGACAATATCCAAAATATGTGGTTCACCGGTTCCCGCCGTTTGGCCAAATGTAATTAAGCTGCCACTCTTTCACACGCTTAAACAAAAGAAGACGCATCGTCGACGTTTGCGTGAAGATTTTGAGTTTATGCCAACATCTGCGCTTGATCTGCTTGATAAAATGCTTGACTTAGATCCGGACAAACGCATTACTGCGGAAGATGCACTCAGATCACCTTGGCTGAAGAACATCAATCCCGATGAGTGAGTAATTTGTTATATATTGAGCACAGAATGAAATTATTTCAATTCGTAACTTAACAGAATGCCAACACCACAATTGCCTACATGGCAGGATTGTCATGAGCTTTGGAGCAAGAAGCGGCGTCGCCAGCTTCGCGAACAGCAAGAGTCGCTGCCACCAGGTGTCATTTGCTCAGCTAAGTATCAGCAGCACGGCGCTGCGATGGTAGGGGATGCCTAGCATTTACTCTATGCTTCATACTACAATGAAGAAGAGGAAGACTATAAACAGCGAGAGGAAGTGGAGTGTGCCTGGTGGCAAAGTTAATACCATCTAAAATTATAATCAATTATAAATAGTTGGCAGGGAGACTCGCAGGCAGTTCGGGTTGACATGCTCTACCAAAGCACTCTATTTTTTAAGTCGTCTCTTAAACAAAATAACTAATTTAAGACTATATTTAAATAGTGATGAATTGCTAAAAAAAAAGAAAGAAAAAAAGAAATCAACAACAGAAAACAAAAGAGCATTTCGAATTGACCGGTGTGTAATATTGTAATATATATATATATATACTATATGCAATCAAATAACCCATTGCAAACTAAATTGTTTATAATTTTTCTAATGCTTAGTATAATATCTTAAATACATATTGGCAATAAACAATGAGCATGAGAAATAACACTATCAATCAATGTGTGTGTCAAGGTTTGTTTAGTTCACATTGACTTTTATTCTGTTATAAAATTTGACTATTTAAAAAATATTTTAGTTAACAAACAAATTGAAGAGCAACGCGAAGCTTTGAAGCAGTTAAAGGTTAGCAGTGTACCATTAAAAAAATTGTTATATATATCT